ACATATTAAATTGAAGAAGGGTGCGCCGTATTGCATATTTTTATGTTTCATCTTTTAACGAACAAATTTATTCTGTTTCTGTAATTCTTTGGATATTTTTGAGAAAAGTTAACGTACGAATATATTTATTACAAAGTAAATTAGAGTATATTGTATTTCAAAGACTTTATCGTAGAAATTATTGTAATTTCATCATACTTATTTATAATTTTATAAACATAAAACCGATAATTATGTTAAATATACTTTAGCTTTCATACATATACAAAATTAATTAAATATAGTAATGTTTTATCTTGAATATTTTTTTGTACAAAATGATGAAATTATTTGTTTCAAAATGTTTTTTTATTAATGCGTTGAAAGACGTATTGTTTCCATATTTCTATAGCACGTATTTAGATGTGTTACTGTCGCCGTCGTATTGTCAAGACGTTCGGTTTGAATTATATATGAAATTGCAATGTTTTTAATCTCGATACCTTCAATTTTGAGTTTTATTAATTTATATAGTTAAACACTCGTAACATAATGAAGCAAATATTTTTCGGATCATCTAGAGCACGTTAATGTATCACGTGAAAAATAATTCATCTCATTGTCAATAATATTGGATATATACAAATGAATACGAACAAAAAAAATAAAAAATTAATAAAATAAAAAACAACATAATAATAACTCCGAATGCTTCCTGTCAAGTAGATTAACACTGCACTGCATATAATTCATACAAATTAATTAGTTATGCCATTTTTATGTAACATATTAGCTCTACTGTATTTCATCAAAGTGATACAAAAAAGGAATCACAAAAAATATGAAAAATACATACCTGTTTTTTAAACTATACATGCGTTTTACTGACTTTGCATATTTAATTATCCACTTGAAATCACTACGCCTACTTATATAGCAATATTATATGTATTGGGCACTTTTATGTCTCGTTTCGTAACGATAAAATTTTTGTACTTTGCATAATTATTATTTTTGACTCTTTTGCAGCAAGTTTAAATAAATATATATTCATTGCGAAATAAATCATAATCACACTTTTTCATGATAATATAAACTTCGTCACGCGAAAAGATGGTGAGTATTGATTCGATTGAATTATATTATTTAAGGTGATTTATTAAGATATTTAAGGCAATTTTCGCACATTTTTTGGCATGAGTTTAAAATGAAGTAATAACAAAAAAAGGCGAAAAATAATTTAATCAGTCTTGTTCGCCGCTGTTTTGGTTGCTCGTGGTAGTAAATATAATAACGCAGCAGTTAATATATTCATTATTAAATAACTAACAATTATTTAAAATTCCAAATACAATAAAGTCATTCATATATCTCGCTTATGAGCACTATATAGAAAAATAATACGTGTGACAATAGCGCGTGCTTTTCCGCGCGCACTCGCAGTTGCCTTTTCCTTTGTCCGCGTCGGAAACGTTCAACGATGTCATAGTTTCTCAGCAACAGACGTATTGTTATATAGAACCTAGTATATAATATATAATACCCGTGTACATAGGCGGTTATTACACATAGTATATTAAACAAATTATTAAAAAAATAGATATCTTAAAGTTTATTGAAAGAAAGTTGCTTAACGTTTCAATTACACTTCGTCACAATCTACATGATTTATTTTTGCGTGATATTAATATATATATAATTAATCCCAAAGAGAAATTAACGTAGATTAACGTATTTATTCTAATTTCATAAAACTCACAAGTCATTAAATCCCGCAACAGTTTGTACCCGAAACTGCGATTTCAGCATGTATAAATTTTTTACATTTGAAATTCTAAATCTTTCAGCTTTAAAAACTTAGCATTATCTCCGAAGATCGTTGGATTTCTACATTTTCGAAATATTTTATTATTGGTCTCTCCAATTCTCAATTCGAGATATCGAAGTTCTCGTTTTCGCGAAACATCAGTTGCTCGGAAAATATCCTCCTGCACGTAATATATCTTTCTAGGACACTGTGTACATCATTAGAATCTCTCAAAACAACACGTTGCCTTTATTATGTTCCAACGCCGAATGTCCGCTACCAAAACTTAATTGTCCTTCCTCGATAAACATGTCATCGAGAAATGCGTCGTTGCGAAGAGAAGATCCACTTTTCAATTCAACGTTAATCTTACAATTTTTTCTCATACGATTATTTTGCAGGCCAATGACAAATTGATACAACTTTAAAAATTGTCAAATCTTTAAGAAAAGTGAGAAATAAAATTCCTTTAAAGTAAATATCTTCTAATTTATTTATATTTTTGTAACGACGAAGCAGAGAGGAATAGAAGGCGCAATGAATATTTGTTTCACGTTGTCGATTCGACAGTTCATTGAATAATCTGAATTTTTTCAGTAGATATACTTTGATGATGAATCGGGTTTTGCAGCTTTAAGTTGCACAAATTATCTTGCATGGAAACTAATATCTTTGTAGCTATAAATCAAACCAATACTTATATATATATATATTACAATCAATTCCTTTAATAACGTTCTTTTATTGAAAGGTGCGTATCATGTGGCGGTATCTACAAATTTCAACATAGTGATTGTCGATGAAATCAGTAAAGGCAAGCTCTGACGACGCAAGTCTCTGTGATGCCAAATGCAACAATTGACGTTAATACATCGCTTACTAATTTGCGGGTATCGTTGTTTTGAAAGTACGTATATCAAAAAAGCGTATAAAAAGAAAATAACTGATTTAACAAATTCCATCCGAGAGCATCGAATTCAATAAAACAAAATCGATAATTACATGTTAAATATATTTTAGCTTTCATACATATATAAAATTAATCAAATATACTAATGTTTTGTGTGGGATATTTTTTTGGATAAAATAATGAAATTATTTCTTTCAAAATGCCATTTTATTAATGCGTTGAAAAACGCATTTCCCATATTTCCCTATTATAATGAATACATTAATAGTCACACACAATTTTTGGAAAACATACAACTTTAAAATTTAAATTGACAAAATTATGGCTGCATACTCGTACAATATATTTGAAAGACTTCTGGAGAAATTATAACAAACCGAAATAAAATAAAGCAAAAATTAAAAAAATGAAATAGTATAAATATAAAAATATCTTACAAATGTCGTCTTTACATGAACATCACTGCTCAGTTAATAAAATTAATTTGCTTTATAAATTTATAAACAAACTTTATGAATGTAATATTAAAAAGTACTTTGTTCAATAAATTTATAAATATTATAAATTTTATATATTTATAAAATTGAAATACGTCTTTGAAATAGTAATCTATAAACTTGCTTATAACTTTATAAAAATAAAAATAATATATACAGACGTTAAAGATAATTCTTTTAAACATTTTAAATTAACTAAACGATCAAAGTCAAAACTGACATTATTGCTGGTCTAATAACGACGTTGTTGCTCGATCTCAGTTCGGCTATCATCATCTCCATTGTCCAAAGTATAGATACATCTATTAAAAATAAAAAAAAAAAATGATTAGAAACTAATTATTCGATTCTTATTGCTCATATTAAACAAATATTGTGTGTGTGTGTGTGTGTGTGAGTACGCCACTCAAAGAAAATAAAAAATTAATAGTAGACAATATCAATAATATCAATAAAACTTACCGCCGCTTCTTTTCAGCTTATTTCACGGCTTGTTGACGGTTCGTCGTATGGTCTTTTTATTCCTTGTCCTCGCATTGCTAGACCATCTCTTGGTTGTGGGTCATTTCCTGGTCCTAAGAAATCCATTTCTCTTACATACTGTGCACACCCATGGTCGAATATATGAAGAAATAAGTAATTAAAAGGCATAAAATCAAGGTCATGTTCTTCTTCACATACAAGGCACAATCCTTTAAAATCTTCATTATTATCTTTCTGTTTTACATATTTGCAATACCATGTATACTGCAGAACGTTACTATTATCATCCATTCCTTTATGTCGATGATATGACCAACTGTCACTATTCAGGTCAAACTCATCGTTACATATAACACATTGTATATTCTGTGTCCCTTTTAAAATCCTGAAATTTAACCAATGAAAATGTTGGCGATGTCCAGTACGATTTCTGCCTTCAGCATCATAAATAAGCATATTGGTACTTCGCACATGTCGATCAAAGCTTAATACGTCGATGCTACTAATAACTTCAAGACATCTTTTACATCTTGCTCGAAATCTCGACATTAATTCATATCTCCTTTTCACCCAATTTATAGCTATTTCGCGATTTTCCCAATCCTTTGACTTCCATAAGAAATCGTCAGATAATCGTAAAAACATATTCAGTCTTGTTAAATTTGCGACACCTAATGACGTTGCTGAGTCTTCACTAAATGGTAGTCCTTCCCCCCATATTTCTCGATGAAACATTTTAAAATGCAAGAATACGATTTCATTAAACGCCAATTGAATGATTTTGGCGCATTGTCTGCGTTCACAAAGAATACAATACGCTGAAAAAACACTGTCACTTGTCTGTTTAAAATATTTGAACGCCCAGTCATGATAACTATCGACTACAATTTGACCTTCTTTTGCAAAATGATGGTGACACCAGATATATTTGGCGGGAACACGCTTATTACATACAACACATTCTGCATCGCCAGGATCGTCAGGTTGTCTAAAGATTTTCCAATCAGAATCTCTCACTGACTCTTCAAATTGATAAGAAGCTTCATGTTCGCATTTTATATGATCCTGAAGGGCTTCTGTGCAGACGAAGTATATAATATATTGACACTCATTACATGTTGCTTGAAAATTCGACAGCGTATAATTTTCTTGCACCCAATTCCGAACAGTTGGAAGCTCAGGTTGGTCAACCACGTCTATTGCGCGAGACATATTGCGTGTGACTGAACGCGATACTGTTTTGTCGAATGACGACTGATAGAAGAGGTCGAAGGAACAAAGCTGTAGCAGAGAGAAGCCTAAGAGGGGCCATCAGAGGCCACGTCGTCGTTTTTCGTACGACGCTTTCTCTAGGCCGTACAGTAGCGCTAACTGGATCCATTTTTTGAGCCGGCGGAACTACATGGCCAGATTCACTTTTCGCTATGGTAAGACGGCTGATTGGTGCATATTCGTGCTAGATCCATAATTATGGATCAATTATGGATCATATGAAATCACGAAGTTTTCAATCTCGATACCTTCAATTTTGAGCTTTATTAATTTATACAGTTAAACACTCGTAATATAATGAAGCAAATATTCTTCGGATCTGCTAGAACATGCGTTAATACTTAACGTATCGCGTGCAAACATAATTTTTTCATTTCATCATTAATATTGAATATATGTACAGAAAAGAATAAAAAAGTAAAAAATAGAAATTTCTACTTTTAGTAAAACATAAAGTAGTAATAATTCCGAATTGAGATGTTCCTTGTCAAGTAGATTCACACTGCACTGTATCTAATTCTTTCAAGTTTAATTATTTACGCCATTCTTTATGTATCATTTTAGCTCACTGTACTTTATCGAAATATAAAAAAATAATTAAAAACGAAAAGAAAAAAAATACTTAGTTGTTTTTTAAACTATGTATGCGTTTTATTGATTATGTACATTTAATTATCCACTTGAATTTACTACGCCTACTTATACAACACGCTGAACTGCGCACTCTTATGTCTCGAAAAAATCAAATTTATTTCGCACAATTAGTATTGATTCTTTTGCTGCAAAATTAAATACAAACAAATTCATTGTGGAGTAAATTATATTCACACAATTACATGATAATGATTAGAAACAATAAAAAATGGTGAATATTAACTTGTTTGAATTATAAATCTTTAAGGCAATATTCGTGTATTTTTTTTCACATGCGTTTAAATTAAGAAATGAAGAAACACAAAGAACAATCTAATCACTTTTGTCAAATGCATTTGGTCTTTACGATTTTTTTATTTCATGCCAAAGATTCAGTCTTGAAGAAACGTTTTAAATGAAGAATAAGAAGCTTAAAAATTTACGAGATGATTTTTACAGAACAAACTCTTACACTGTAAGATCATCTCGCCGCTACTTTGGTCGTGGTAGTAAATATAATTACGTACCGATTAATACGTTCGTTATTGTTAAATACCTAACAATCATATAAAATTCTAAATACGATAAAGTCATTATAACTTTAACCTTATGAGCTAGTCTATGTACAAAATTACCATGCGTGACAATAGCGTGAGCTTTTCCGCGCGCACTTGATGTTGCCTTTTCTCTTGCCCGCGGCGGAAACGCTCGACGGTATCATCGTTTTTTAGCAACAAATCGAAGTATGTGTCGCGGTATGACAATATTTAGAAACTCATGTATATTATACAATACCCGCGTAGATAGGCGAATCAAAAATATTCTACTAAAAAAAAAATACATTAAAAAAAACCCGGAAAAAAGTAAAACATTTAACAGAGATAAAAAAAAAGAAAAGTATTAGAAGGAACAAAAAATGGAGAATACAATTAAGAAAAAGATTAATCAAACTGAAACAAAGAAAAGTTATTGTAAGATTAATTAAAACTAAAAGGAAAAAAGCAAAATTTAGTTAAATTCAAAATATAAAATATATCCAAGACTAGAGACAAAGAAAAATAGATAATAACACGCAACAAAATAAAAATATTGGAAACAGTAAAAAAATAGATATTAAAAAATACAAAATTTTTTCATTAATTAACAGTTTACAATTAAAATATAATGAAAAAATAAAAGATAAAATAATGCAGTTTTATAGTAAATTTCTTGAAATTTTAAGAATTAAGAGTTTGAATCTGCAGAACAATTTCTCACGAATGTTCTTTAATTCGCCCATCATTTCAAAGTGTAAAAACATTATGCATTATTATCACAGATCTTGTATTTGTTTTCCGCACGAATTTCTGGAATGCCGTCTATCTTTGATATTACATGCATCGCGCCTTATAAATAATATTTTTTTAAGTAAATAAAACAAAAAAAAAAGAACAATGATATGAAAGAAAAAGGAGAGAAAGAAAATAAGAGAAAAAAAGACAGAGAGAGATTAGGCACTAAAATGGATGGGTTTGTTTGTTCGGAATTGCCTCCTTGGAGTATTGCTTGACGTCTTAAGGACATTTCTGAGAACTTTAGTACACTTTGTTACAATCTATATGATTTACTTTATACGCGAGTTAATTATATATATATGCTATCCGTCCCAGAGAGAGATGTAGATCGTCCTTTTCCTCATTATTACTCTATGAAACATTTATTCAAATATCATTGAATCCACGAATTGTTTCTCCCCGAATCTGTCGATTTCAAAATTTTTGATATCAAAAGTCTTGAAATTTTCAGCTTTCAAAATTTATCTTCCCTAAAGATCCTTTCCTAAATCCTCGAATTCTCAGAATATCATTATTGATCCCTCGAATTCTCAATTCAAGATATTAAATTTCTCGTTCTCGCGAAACGTCAGATATTCAGAAAATATCTTTCTATAACGTATCTTTTTCTAAGACACTGTGTACATCATTCGGGACTCTCGAAACAACATGTTGACTTTATTTCGTTCAAACATGACGCCTAGCGTCCGTTATCAAATCTTAATTGTCATTCATCGACAAATGTCATGCCATCGAGAAATGTACCGTTGCCAAAAAAAAGTTGTATTATTCAATTCAGTGCTAATCTTAAAATTTTTCTTATACAATAATCTTGCAGGCAATTGACGAATTAAAAGGATTTTACAAAAATTTTCGATCACATCTCTCTTAGAAAAGTTAAAAATTCAATTCGTTTAAAGTAAATTCCTTCTAATTTATCTATTCTTTCGTAACGGCAAAACAGCGAGGACTAGAAAACACAAAATGAATAATCGTTTCATCGTCGTCGACTTGGCTGTTCATCAAATAATCTGCAGTTTTTCAGTCGATATACTTCGCAATGTCGAATCAAGTTTTGGGACTCCAAGTTGTGCAAATTATTCTCGATATATGGAAACATTTCATGTTTGCAACGACAACCCAAATCCATCTTAATTGGATCAAAATGAAAAAATTAACTATTAATTAAGAATTAATATCAATGTCGATTCTTAATAAATATAATATTAAAATTGATACATTTTTTCAGTCGGCGGATATTGAATTAAAATAGTTATTCTCGGAACGGCACGTTCGCCACGGTTCGTCGGTGGCTTGATTAATTTCGAATCGTTCCTCGATCTGGAGTCGAATTATCATTTCACGGCGCTTGCAGGCATTTGCATGCATAGACGATCATTTTGCCAACCGGCGTCTTGACAACGGCTATTATTATAAGTCGGCGTAAAGATGAACGCAATGGTGTAAGCGCACCTCGATTATATAACGTTTTAAACGAAACCAAAAAAAATGTACCAATGTATCAAATGTACAAAATGCGATAAAAAATAAAATATTGATTCCAATTTATATCATCATAATAAATTTAATTTTACACAAATATAATTTTGTCTAATTTTATTTCTTTATCAGAATGTTGTCTCGCTTATTCGCAGCAATTTGATTTAACTTTTGACAACCAAGCAAAGTTATATAATTTACAAAAAATCTGCGCGTGCCTATGTAAAACAGTCTCCACATATCAAAACTTATCTGCATTCTTTTTAATTTAGATTACATCTCACCAATCACCGATCGATTAGATCAATCTTTCCTCCGGAGAAGGTTTCATCACATTATCCATTTCCACTCGAGGATTACTGAATTCCTGAGCACTCGGACTATACATGCCGCGTGTAGTGCGTTTCTTTCTTGCCATCATAAAGAGCGCTATGAGAAAGCTGAAGATGATGAGGAAAAAATAGCCCACAATTGGATGTCCACCTACGATCACTGCTATGTCGATGGCTTTGCTACTAAATAAGTGCTCCCGCTGGAAAATATTGATTAAACACATTAGTATAAAAATAATTTTTTATTAATTGTTAGTTTTAATCAATTTTATTTATAAGAAAGTAAAACTGTCGAGTAATAAAAACATAAAACGCAAGAGCGTAATTAATTTTAATAAATGCAATGGGCATCAACTGCAAAAATTTACCGGTTAAAAATTTTGCCTAATTCTGACATCAATTCAAGACAATGGTATACTGAAAACATTTTTGCGTATTCTTATTAAGTTATCAGAGATATATTGTGTAGATGAGCTAATTGGTCTTTTCTCATGGAATCTCTAATCTAAAGAATTTCACCTTACCAGTGCAATTTAGTCCCGTGTATTCAGAAGTGCATTCACATTCGTATCCGCCATCTTTGGCACACCTGCAGACCTTTGGCCACCGTTCTGACAATAATTTTAATAAAGACAAAACAGGATCATCGTAAAAATAAAACACAATATCTCACAATATTATGTTCGTCTTAATTTCATTATCATAATTTTACTGAACTCAAAAAATTTTTTCAATTTTATTCCCTCAATTCTAATCAATCTTGTTTAACGTTCTAATTCTTTAATTCCAACAAATATTCTATTCTCTAAATTTTTTACTCAGTTCTACATCACAATCCTTTTAAACTCCTTTCTATTTATTAATTTCTAGAGAACTTACCTCTTGGCAAGGATCCAACATGGCGCAATTGTAGCCGCAGAAGCCAAAATCGCAAACGCACTCGTAACTACCAGGCAGATTCTGGCACCCGTCGTGTCCACAATCTGTCTGCGAATTTACGCATTCGTCTATGTCCTCGATGCTATTGTCACCGGTGTATCCGGTGTTCTGGCAGTCGCATGTGAAGTTGTTCACCGCGTTGAAACATTTGCCGCCGTTCCTGCAAGGTAGTTCGCCCTTGAGATCCGGCGCATTCATCGATGTCCGTCTCGCAGTACAGGCCGGTGTAACCAGGAGCGCAGGTGCATCTCGGTTGCTACGTGATAATAATTCCATAATATATAAAACTTTTGTTTAACAATTAAATTTAAGAATAAAGTTTTAGAATCCAGAATCTAAAATAACAATCTCAAATTCCACCGATTCCATAAGTTTGAGATTAAAATTTGACAACATGTGTAATATTTCATCACATCGAACTAAACTTTCTGAAATTTTGAGAAAAATCAAATTATGCAATAGTAATAAAAAGCAGCAGCAATTCAAACTTCAGCAATTTCAAATCCTAGTCTTGGAAATTAAAGTTTTATTACATATTCATAATTCGTTTCCAAAAATTCGCATCAGCCATTCATCATCATCATTTTTGGCATCATCATTAAAAATGGAGAAATGTTATACATTTCAAAATCAAGCTTTGCTTGATAAATGATTATAAGTAATGGAATAAGAAAATGGCACGTTGAGTTGTCGAAGCAGAGGATAATCAAAGAACTGCTAAGGAATTTGTTGCAAGACTCATCCACCCACTAAACACGTTAACAAGTGTTAAAAACGGACCTACATAATAATGGAACCCTTGTAACGTTTGCGGAACGGGCCTTTTTCCTTAAGTCCGCCAATGCTAAAAATAATATACATTACAATGACTTTTTTAAATAATGTTCATTTTATTTAATGGTGCGCATCATGTGGCAGTATCTACACATTTCTACAAAGTGATTTTCGATAGCAAGCTAGAGATTGAAGCCTTTGTAATGCCAAATGCGCCGATCGACGATAATACGCCGCTTACTAATTTCCAGGTATCGTTGGTTTACATTCTAAGAAACTATTGTGTATATATATGTATACATATATCAAAGGAGAGCATAATAATAATATAATTAATTTTGACAGGTACCGCCCGAGAGCATCGAACGCGCTGCTGGGCTTTTATTCTTCGACAAAATATCGCGCAATAAACTCAACAAGGTGGACGGCAAAAACATAGGCTTTAACGATTGCTCAATTTAAAAGATTACTTCTTTCGCCTAACGGTTAGAATTTCTATTTTTAAACTGTTTAAATTGAAATTTTATAGTTTTTGTTTTTGACAGGCCTTCGAGCGTATCCCTAAGTTTACGCAATTAATATTCACACATCGCTGGATATAATTTTTAAAAGTTTTCTTATTTATCATATTCTGTATATTATTTTAAATGTAATATCTTTTATCGAAGTGATAAATACGTTTAAAAATATGTTTTAAAAATAAATAAATAAATACACAGTTTTTTATCCTATATATGCGTTTTATTGATTTCGTACGTTTAATTCATTTAAGAGAAATTTCTACACTTCTTTACATATTAAATTGAAGGAGGGTGCGCTGTATTGCGCACTCTTATGTCTCATCTTGTAACGAACAAATTTATTTTTTTTCTTTAATTCTTTTGACATTTTTGTTGAGAGTTAACGTAGAAATATATTTATTATGAAGTAAATTAGTGTATATTATATTTCAAAGACTTTATCGTAGAAATTGTTGTAATTTCATAACTTATTTATAATTTTATAAACATAAAACCGATAATTACATGTTAAATATACTTTAGCTTTTATACATATATAAAATTAATTAAATATAGTAATGTTTTATTTTGGATATTTTTTTGTATAAAATGATGAAATTATTTGTTTCAAAATGTTTTTTTATTAATGCGTTGAAAGACGTATTGTTTCCATATTTCTTTAGCACGTATTTAGATGTGTTACTGTCGCCGACGTATTGTCAAGACGTTCGCTTTGAATTATATATGAAATTGCAATGTTTTTAATCTCGATACCTTCAATTTTGAGTTTTATTAATTTATAGTTAAACACTCGTAACATAATAAAGTAAATATTTTTCAAATCATCTAGAGCACGTTAATGTATCACGTGAAAAATAATTTATCTCATTGTCAATAATATTGGATATATACAAATGAATACGACAATAAAAAATAAAAATTTATAAAATAAAAAACAACATAATAATAACTTCGAATGCTTCCTGTCAAGTAGATTTGCACTGCATTGCATATAATTCATACAAATTAATTAGTTATGCCATTTTTATGTACCATATTAGCTCTACTGTATTTCAAAGTGATACAAAAGTGATACAAAAAAGGAATCACAAAAAATTATGAAAAATACATAGCTGTTTTTTAAACTATACATGCGTTTTACTGACTTTGCATATTTAATTATCCACTTGAAATCACTACGCCTACTTATATAGCAATATTATATGTATTGGGCACTTTTATGTCTCGTTTCGTAATCGATAAAATTTTTGTACTTTGCATAATTATTATTTTTGACTCTTTTGCAGCAAGTTTAAATAAATATATATTCATTGCGAAATAAATCATAATCACACTTTTTCATGATAATATAAACTTCGTCACGCGAAAAGATGGTGAGTATTGATTCGATTGAATTATATTATTTAAGGTAATTTATTAAGATATTTAAGGCAATTTTCGCACATTTTTTGGCATGAGTTTAAAATGAAGTAATAACAAAGAAAGGCGAAAAATAATTTAATCAGTCTTGTTCGCCGCTGTTTTGGTTGCTCGTGGTAGTAAATATAATTACGCAGCAGTTAATATATTCATTATTAAATAACTAACAATTATTTAAAATTCCAAATACGATAAAGTCATTCATATATCTCGCTTATGAGCCCTATGTAGAAAAATAATACGTGTGACAATAGCGCGTGCTTTCCCGCGCGCACTCGCAGTTGTCTTTTCCTTTGTCCGCGTCGGAAACGTTCAACGATGTCATAGTTTCTCAGCAACAAATAGACGTATTGTTATATAGAACCTAGTATATATTATATAATACCCGTGTACATAGGCGGTTATTACACATAGTATATTAAACAAATTATTAAAAAAATAGATATCTTAAAATTTATTGAAAGAAAGTTCCTTAACGTTTCAATTACACTTCGTCACAATCTACATGATCTATTTTTGCGTGATATTAATAAATATATAATCAATCCCAGAGAGAGATGTAGATTAACGTATTTATTCTAATTTCATGAAACTCACAAGTCATTAAATCCCGCAACAGTTTGTACCCGAAACTGCGATTTCAGCGTGTATAAATTTTTTGCATTTGAAATTCTAAATCTTTCAGCTTTAAAAACTCAGCATTGTCTCCGAAGATCGTTGGATTTCTACATTTTCGAAATATATTATTATTGGTCTCTCCAATTCTCAATTCGAGATATCAAAGTTCTCGTTTTCGCGAAACATTAGTTGCTCGGAAAATATCCTCCTGCACGTAATATATCTTTCTAGGACACTGTGTACATCATTAGAATCTCTCAAAACAACATGTTGCCTTTATTATGTTCCAACGCCGAATGTCCGCTACCAAAACTTAATTGTCCTTCCTCGATAAACATGTCATCGAGAAATGCGTCGTTGCGAAGAGAAGATCCACTTTTCAATTCAACGTTAATCTTACACTTTTTTACTCATACGATTATTTTGCAGGCCAATGTCGAGTTGATACAACTTTAAAAATTGTCAAATCTTTCAGAAAAGTGAGAAATAAAATTCCTTTAAAGTAAATCTTCTAATTTATTTATATTTTTGTAACGACTAAGCAGAGAGGAATAGAAGGCGCAATGAATATTTGTTTCACGTTGTCGATTCGACAGTTCATAGAATAATCTGAATTTTTTCAGTAGATATACTTTGATGATAAATCGGGTTTTGCAGCTTTAAGCTGCACAAATTATCTTGCATGGAAACTAATATCTTTGTAGCTATAAATCAAACCAATCTTATATATATATATATTACAATCAATTCCTTTAATAACGTTCTTTTATTGAAAGGTGCGTATCATGTGGCGGTATCTACAAATTTCAACATAGTGATTGTCGATGAATCAGTAAAGGCAAGCTCTGACGACGCAAGTCTCTTGCGATGCCAAATGCGACAATTGACGTTAATACATCGCTTACTAATTTGCGGGTATCGTTGTTTGAAAGTACGTATATCAAAAAAGCGTATAAAAAGAAAATAACTGATTTAACAAATTCCATCCGAGAGCATCGAATTCAATAAAACATAAAATCGATAATTACATGTTAAATATATTTTAGCTTTCATACATATATAAAATTAATCAAATATACTAATGTTTTGTCTGGGATATTTTTTTTGGATAAAAGAATGAAATTATATCTTTCAAAATGCCATTTTATTAATGCGTTGAAAAACGCATTGTCTGCATATTTCTCTATTATAATGTATACATTAATGGTCACACACAATTTTTGGAATACATACAACTTTAAAATTTAAATTGACAAAATTATGGCTGCATACTCGTACAATATATTTGAAACACTTCTGGAGAAATTATAACAAACCGAAATTAAATAAAGCAAAAATAAAGAAAATGAAATAGTATAAATATAAAAATATCTTACAATGTCGTCTTTACATGAACTTCACTGCTCAGTTAAAAAAATTAATTTGCTTTATAAATTTATAAACAAACTTTATAAATGTAATATTAAAGAGTACTTTGTTCAATAAATTTATAAATATTATAAATATTACAAAATTTTGCTTTATATATTTATAAAATTGAAATACGTCTTTGAAATAGAAATTTTATAAACTTGCTTATGACTTTATAAGAATCAAAATGATATAT